CTATGTGTATCAGGTGGCAGATCGGTGAAGGTTCATTGACATTTGCATTCATTTTATGTAATATTTACACATAATGAAAACAAAAGGCCCAAATAACGTAATTCTTTTTTTTTTTTAAAGGTTTATTTATTTTTATTACAAAGTCAGATACACAGAGAGGAGGAGAGACAGAGAGGAAGATCTTCCATCTGATGATTCACTCCCCAAGTGAGTGCAACGTCCGGTGCTATGCCAATCCAGAGCCAGGAGCCTGGAACCTCCTCTAGGTCTCCCACACAGGTGCAGGATCAAAAGCATTGGCTATCCTCGACTGCTTTTCCAGGCCACAATCAGGGAGCTGGATGGGAAGTGGAGCTGCCAGGATTAGAACCAGCACCCATATGGTATCCCGGTTCAAGGTGAGGACTTTAACTGCTAGGCCACGCTGCCGGGCCCCCAGAGAACATAATTCTAAAAGTTCAAGTTTAACATCCTAGGCTGGGAGCAAGGTGACAGTTGAGCAAGACACTCCAGTAGTCACCTCCCAACAGCTGGCTTGCATCACAAAGTCACCTTCCTCAGACTCTCCAGAACCCGGTGGCAGACCTAAGAGTGCCTTGTTTTAGCATAATAGAATTATTCTGAAGGGAGAGGAAAGTGTTGCCTGCCACACTCCTTTCTCAGGAATAGCCCAGGAATAGCACAGCATGGAGAGAGGCCCCTCAGAGGGAGCTGAATGCCAATGCCAGTTCTGCTGCATTACAAATTTCAGTTTCATAGAACCTCATGGTCCCTGCTCCCAGGCTATATGAGGGGACAGTTTGGAGTCTCCCTAGCCTGGTAGCTTGTGATCTCTTTATCCCCTCCTCTTAAGTGCTGAAAGAAAGAAGAACAGAACTCCAGCTACTGCAGAGCAAGACAGAAGGGAGCTTTGGACCTGGCCTTGGAATGCAGAGTGGACTTGCCACCCTTACCCAGGATCCTGATAAAGCCCAGCAGCTCTACAGCATTAGACTTTCCCTGCTCCAGTGAGATGGACTTGTTTCCTGGAGCCTGCTTTGATGCTGTGTTCCATAACCCCAGTTGATCAATCTTACACCCCAGTCTGTAACAACAATGAGTGCTAGGAACTGTATCAAATAACTCTACACTGTATCAGCAGGCTGAGCACACTAGTTATAGAGCACACTGGTCTCTGTGAGCTGTCAGCTCTGGATGTCATGTAGAACCACAGTATTGGTGTTAAATCAAAAGCCTTGGCCTACCACAACATCAGAAAGTGGCTCCTAGGGACAGATTTCCCCTTTTCAGGATCTCCCAGGTTATTCGGCACAACATGCTGTGAAGTTGGAACAAAGTCAGCTTGGGGAATGTTGTAGAACTGTCCTGGGGTCCTTGCAGTGGATGTGGGGTCCATTGCAGGCAGTGGATGTGGGGTCCATTGCAAGGAATTTCCTGCTGCACAGTAGGGCCTGGTGGATGTCTCTACAGTCACCTGAATGTAGCTCCACCTTCCTTTGCTTGGACATCCGACCACTTTGTGGAAGAATTCTAATCCATTCAGGCATTGTTTGCTGCTGTGGAGTTGGCTTATTACTCAATGTGAACTTGGAGGTTAATGTCAATAATAACATCTTGCAAAAGGGCCTTTTATTATTCCTGCTGTCTCTGCTGTCCCTATCAACCTTATGCTAATGCAGGGATCTGTGTTCAGGGTTTCATTCTTTTGTTGATCTTTAGGTTCTCCTTTTCTTTGTGATACAAGATTGAGTTGTAGAATAAGAATTATAGTAGGAACTTCTATTGTTTATAGGTGAAACAAATGGCAGAATTATTCTTGGATACACCACTTGACCTTGCCATCAAAAGTATGTGCCAGAGCTTGTGAGGGTTGCTGTATAAATAAAAGAGACAGCTTTCTTGCATTTGTCCATTATGATCATGAAATTGTAGTGGTCCAATTCTTTCCTCTTTATGCCTAAACTGTACCGGACAGCTTAGCCGGTAGCATGGACACGGCGAGGGTCAGGGAATCAGACACCAACAGGAGACCAGTAGTGGTGGAAGAGGTCTCTCTCAGCCTCCCTTTATTCAGCCATATATACCTTTCCCCCAAGCCTCTAGCAGAACAATCGGATGCTAATGAGTCTGACAGACAAGGTGCCACTAGCCTCCAAGCCCATTTCCTGCAGGAGCCAAGCTTAACAAATGCTAATCAACTCCTCAGCCCACAACACTAAGACACGCACCTTCCTGAGTTCCAAACTCTGCTGGAGCTGGAATCCAGCAACTGAACACAACAGCAGTGCTATGGCAGACCTCAATTTAGCATCCTGTCACTAAAATAATATAAGTGATCAAGTGCTCAAAGAAAATAAACTGCTTAAAATTTTCTAGCAGAGCGGGCCTGGCGCAGTGGCCTAGCAGCTAGAGTACTCACCTTGCACACACTAGGATCCCATAGTTTTAATCCCGGCAGCCCCACTTCCCTTTCCGCTCCCTGCTTGTGGCCTGGGAAAGCAGTCTAGGATGGCCCAAAGCCTTGGGACACTGTAACCCGTGTGGGAGACCTGGTTGAAGCTCCTGACTCCTGGTTTCATATTGGTGTAATACTGGCCATTGCAGTGACTTAGGGAGTGAATCATTGGATGGAAGATCTCCCTCTCTCTGTCTCTCCCCCTCTCTGTATATCTGATTTTGCAATAAAAATAAATCTTAAAAAAAAAATTTCTACGAGAATCAAGATGGCAGAATAGGGTAAGGACACTTTTAAACAGACGGAGAAGCATTTAACCAGAATGAAGCAGAGAGGACATATTTCAGGAAATACGAAAGGACAGAACAACAGCAGAGGGGTACCTGGAGACTGACAGACACAGAAAAGCAGCAGGCACAGCAGTGTGGTGTTGCAGTGAATGATATTCCAGCACGACGATTTAAACTCCACCAGCAGCCGGAACTCCACCAGCAACCAGGTGGGAAGGGACTTTCAGTGGGAGTTTGGGAGGAGAACCCAGACGGGAACTGTCCGTCCTGCTGGTCCGTTTGATTTGACCAGGAGCAGAGACAGAGCAGCAGATCCCAGGCGGGCAGTGCGAGAACAGCAAGGATTTCATAGCCCAGTCAGCCCCCTAGAGCTGAATTGGGTGCCATTTTGCCTAAGGAGGAAAGGGCAAGGGAAAGGACTGAGCATGCTTTGAGCAGGGAGTGGGCTCATTTCTGACTCGGTGAACTGCAAGGACGTGGCATTCTACGGGTTCCATCCGGGGCAGGTCTGGGTAGCTCTGGGATCTGACAGGCTAGCAGATCAAGAACTGTTGTGGTAGCACGTCGGGCACCATTTTGCGCATTTTGTGGCAATACCTTTGGGACTGCAGGGGACAACAGTGAACTGTGCATGTGCTGAGCTCGCGAGAACTCGCTGAGGTCCCACAGGAAAATAATACCGACTGTGGCATCATACCGGTCAAAACAGGTCCGTGTGGCACCCAGACCTAACATCCAATAAGTTCCGACAAGATCAGCGCCACCAACAACCTAACTATAGATAGGACACCTATCACATGGGTTTTGTTGTTTTCTGTTAGTTTCATCTCTGCAAAACACTTTCTTCTGATTAAATCATTCAATGACTCAAAGATCATGCAGTGGCATCACTTTCTTCAAGAAGGTTCTTGATTTTCACTTCTTCAGCTACACGTTGGACATTTAATAGCATGTTGTTTAACTTCTTGGTGTTCTTAATTGCTTTTTTCTTCCGGAAGTTGATTTTGTTTTGTGGCTCTTCATTTAAGGGAAGGTAAAGTAGTTGTGTAATGGAGACTGTTATATCTAGTAACATGTCATTTAACTTCATGGCATTGTAAATTTCTATTTTTCTTTCTATTGTTGATTCTGTATCATGACTTTTCATTTAAGGGAATGTACAGTAGTTATGTAATGGAGACTGACAACCAGATGTGAGGATGCAGTGTGGCATGCATCTCTGTTTCCAGACAAGGAAGGACTTACAGTGCAACTGTTTATATTATATTTTGACAATAGGATTCTGGACTCTCTGCCATTATCCATGCCTGCAATGATGAACATATGACTGAGTATGAAGAACTATATGTTAGTAATGATATAAAGGAACTGGGGTGGGGAAGTGAATTGGGGAGGGGATAAGGGAAGATGGAACTGTATCGTAAAATGATAGCAATAATAATAAAATGTGAAAATAAAAAAAAAAAAAGAAAATTTCTAGCAGAGTAGCTACCTAGGATGCCAGATTATTACTGCTAATGAATGAATGACATAATATACCAAGCATCAAGGAATTCCAGGGAATCATGATATAATCCAACAAGCAAAACATGGTACTAGAAACTGACCATCTGGAATTGAAATTTTGAAAATTTTGAAATAGTTATTTAATGGAAACACAACTGAATGTAAAGGGGACCGAGAGAAATTAATATTCTAACATAGATGGAAGTAATTAAAATCAGAATTTCTCCAACTGAATATGTACTAAGTGAAATTAAAAAGTGTAAAATAAGGGCCCGGCGCGGTGGCGCAGTGGTTAAGGTCCTCTCCTTGCACGCCCAGGATCCCATATGGGCGCCGGTTCTAGTCCTGGCAGCCCTGCTTCCCTTCCAGCTCCCTGCCTGTGGCCCGGGAAAGCAGTCGAGGACTTGGGCCCCTGCACCCGTGTGGGAGACCCGGAAGAGGCTCCTGACTTTGGACCGGCATAGCATCGGCCGTTGCGCTCACTTGGGGAGTGAATCATCGGACGGAAGATCTTCCTCTCTGTCTCTCCTCTCTGTATATCCGCCTTTCCAATAAAAATAAAATAAATCTTAAAAAAAAAAAGTGTAAAATAAGTCATCAATGGGATAACAGAAGAGTGATTTCAAACTAGTTGAAAATAGAGTTGAAAAAAAAAACTAAAGAAAACATTTGGCTTTCTTCAGCATGGAAAGCTGGATAGCATGGAAAGAACAATTATCCAAGTAATACTGATTTAAGACGTACTTCAGATCCTCGCTTCAGCAGCATATATACTAAAATTTGAACAATACGTAGAAGATTAGCATGGCTCCTGCACAAGGATGATATGTAGATTCATGAAGCGTTCATATTTTTAAGGGAAAATCACAGGATCTGTGGTCTGACATTGGAGAACAGGTGTCATAACCGGGTCTCATTTGCTATGCAATGATGGCATGTTCAGATGCACATGGGGGACATGACAACCAGTACACTGAGGCTTGTAGAGGACATCTGGTACCACGGAAGGCAGAACACATTGGACAGCTCTCCCAGCCAAGCTTTGACAGCAGTTGTCTGGGTGAGTCGACACTCCAAGGTGGACTATATCAACCAAAGGACCTTGGAAGGATTTCTTCAACCTTGGAGCAATGAGATTAACAGCATCTCAGAACTATCAAGACAACTTAAGCAGTATCCTCAGAACATGCTCCACAGCAGGGACCCTGTTTATGACACTGGGTGACCGTCCCCCATCCCCAAGAACTGATGCAGCTGGCTGCTGGGAGCGGCCCTCTCCTCTTCTCTCCCCAATTCCCCAGATACAGGAAGTAAAAAGGAGTTCGTAAACAGTTGTCTCATCCATTTTCCTCCAATCCTTGATCTTCCCCCACCCTAATTGGTGGTCTACATGGGCATGCATCCTTCTTAACTGTGTAAACATCATCAAAAATAAAATAAATTTATTCTTATAAAGAGGGACTTCAGAATGGCAAGGGGGTAAAAAGCATTTTCAAAGAAATAAGAACAGAAAATGTCCCAAACTCAAGATGCATTTTTACCAGTGATAGGAAAGCCAAAGAATCCCAGTCAAGTCAGCCCAGCTGAGTCTGTGCCAAGACATAATCATACTTTTCAAGGTTAAAGATAGAGGATTCTTGGGCCCGGCGTGGTGGCGCAAGTGGTTAAGTCCTTGCCTTGCACGCCCGGTTCTAATCCCGGCAGCCCCGCTTCCCTTCCAGCTCCCTGCCTGTGGCCCGGGAAAGCAGTCGAGGACGGCCCAAAGCTCTGGGACCCTGCACCTGCGTGGGAGACCCGGAAGAGGCTCCTGGCTTTGGACCGGCATAGCATCGGCCGTTGCGCTCACTTGGGGAGTGAATCATCGGACGGAAGATCTTCCTCTCTGTCTCTCCTCCTCTCTGTATATCCGCCTTTCCAATAAAAAAAAATAATAAAAATAAATCTTAAAAAAAAAAAAAAAGATAGAGGATTCTAAATGCTGCAAACAGCGCACTGCAGACTTCTTAGGAGAAACCTCTCAGGGCAGGAGACCCTCAGTACTAAGGAAACAGAAAACAAACAAAAAAAAACCCTCCAAGAATACTGTAACCAGCAAAGATATCCTTCAGATAGGAATTGGAATTGAGGACTGTCATCACCGCCAGCCCTGTCTTCGAAGGGAATTCCTCAAGCTGAAAGAGACACAAATGAATAGGAATAAAACAGAAACTATAAAACTCACATTATTATATAGATAAATTCAGAATCCTGTGGTAGAGAACAGAGAACCATATTTTGAATTTGTGGAGAATATATATATATATAAGCCAGGAGCAGGAGCTTACCAAAAATAAGAAGAATCAAAGTACACCACTAAAGAAAATCACTGAGACACAAACAAAAATTGTGAGTGGGAGCAAGACAAGAATTAGAAAACAAGTGTAAAAGTGGCAGCAGTATGACCTATAATAATAAGCTTAAGGTTTTTTTAAAAAAGATTTATTTTTATTATTTTTTTATTGGAAAGGCAGATATACAGAGAGGAGAGACAGAGAGGAAGATCTTCCGTCCGATGATTCATTCCCCAAGTGAGCGCAACGGCCAATGCTATGCCGATCCGAAGCCAGGAGCCTCTTCTGGGTCTCCCATGCGGGTGAAGGGTCCCAAAATTTGGGCCATCCTGGACTGCTTTCCCGGGCCACAGGCAGGGAGCTGGAAGGGAAGCGGGGCTGCCGGGATTAGAACCGGCGCCCATATGGGATCCAGGGCGTGCAAGGAGGGGACCTTAACCATTGTGCCACCGCGCCGGGCCCAAGCTTAAGTATTAATGAACTAAATTATTCAATTAAGAAATTTAGAATGATTGTATAGTTTTTAAAAAATGACTCAAGGATATGCTGCTTACAAGGAACTCTTTTCACTTAAAAAAGAAAAATATTCATTTTTATCTGAAATGCAGTGTTACAGAGAGAAGAGACAGATTCATTTTTCTTCCATCTGCGGGTTCATTCCCCAAATGGCCACAACAGCCAGAGCTGAGCCTATTTGAAACCGGGAGCTTCCTCTGTGCCTCAAAGGCCCAAGGACTTGAGCCATCCTCCCCTGCTTTCCTGGGGCATCAGCAGAGCTGGAGCTGAACTGGAACAGCAGGGATACAAACAGGAGCCCATATGGGTTACTACCACTGCAGACAGAGGCTTAGCCTACTATAATGTGTCACCAGCCCAAATTCATTTCACTTATATATATGTATATATATTTTAAAGATTGTATTTATTTATTGGAAAGTCAGATATACAGAGAGGAGAGACAGAGAGGAAGATCTTCCGTCTGATGATTCACTCCCCAAGTGACTGCAAGCTGATCCGAAGCCAGGATCTAGGAACTTCTTCCAGGTCTCGCACATGGGTGGGTCCCAAAGCTTTGAGCCATCCTCAAATGCTTTCCTAAGGCCACAAGCAGGGAGCTGGACGGGAAGTGGAGCTGCTGGGACTAGAACCGGCGCCCATTTGGGATCCTGGTGCATTCAAGGCGAGGACTTTAACTACTAGGCCACGCTGCCGGGCCCTTTCAGGGAGATTCTTTTTATAAAGATTTATTTTTATTATTTTTTTATTGGAAAGGCGGATATACAGAGAGGAGAGACAGAGAGGAAGATCTTCCGTCCGATGATTCACTCCCCAAGTGAGCGCAACGGGCCGATACTATGCCGATCCGAAGCCAGGAGCCTCTTCCGGGTCTCCCACGCGGGTGCAGGTTCCCAAAGCCTTGGGCCGTCCTCGACTGCTTTCCCAGGCCACAAGCAGGGAGCTGGAAGGGAAGCGGGGCTGCCGGGATTAGAACCGGCGCCCATATGGGATCCCGGGCGTGCAAGGCGAGGACTTAACCACTTGCGCCACCGTGCCGGGCCCTCAGGGAGATTCTTAACCCACAATTTAAACTTTGCAGTTTGTAGTGATTAAGCATGGTTTTTACAGAACTTTGCATTTAGCAATTGAGGAATAGAAAAGTTTTAGGCAGGTGAGCAGGGAAATCCCCAACAACTTAGTGAGTAAGAATTTAACTCTACATTCAATTAGTCTCTATCTAAAATAATTTTGGGGCTCATAGGCAACCCTGATGGTCGTTGTAAGAGAGGGCTGGGAGCCAAGGCTGGAGCTAGGTAAGAACTAGAGAAAGCTCCTCCTCTGAGTCCAGTTGTCTCTGAGTGTCACCTGGGGCTCCTGACTGAAGTTCCGCTGTCACCAGACCCTGTGACGAGGGAACTGGGCTGCTTCAATCCAGTGTGGGAAATTCACTAGGAAAGGACTGACCTCAGAGTTCTCGGCCTCCAAGGGCACTCACCTTCCTTGTGATCTCCTTGGCACTCGGGATACGGTTCTCGATGTCCTTGATGAGGCAGGTATCCACTGCTTCTGTAGTGAAAGCACATGGGAGACCTCCGGGGGTCTCCAGGACTAGGATAGAGAGCTCCTCTTATCCTCCTGCTCTGCCTTGAGATCCCTTCCTGCTCTGTACACACAACCTCCTTTAAGAGGGTGTCAGTGTCGTCCTTGGATTCCACCACAAATTAATGTGGCTTTTGTAATGTCTAAGGCAGTTAAGAATTTGTTATCTATGAATAATAAGTTACACTTAAAGTCTTCCTCAAACATCCTAAGAAGGTGGAGAATTTCTCTGCACTCCTGACCTGTAGTGGAACAAGAGGAATATTAAACAAATTTAGTTTTTCAGTTCTTACGGGCAGTTCCACTGGGGCTTCCGTCTTCTCCAGGGGCAGTGTTGCATTGAAGGGAGTTGCTGCACTTCTAAGGTCAGATGAGCCATAGGGAAACCACAGTTTGTAGGATCCATCAGGAAATTCTAGGGACAAGAGCATAACCTTTCCCATGGATTATTAATGTTCCAGAATATTAATCATTCAGTTATACTATCAAATACATCATGAGGGTAGGGTCAGGGACAGTTGTGCTTGATGCACCAATCTCTTAGAAACACCGCCCCCTCCCCATCACCCGGTGTTGGGAGGGGTCTGGCCTCCTCCTCCTCCTCCAATGTTTCCTTGATGGTGATGGATCTTTCAGGATGAGGTCGTGAAGCTGTCTTACTGCAGGCTCTTCCTCCAGTGAATGGAGTCCAGGACTTTACATTATGAGTAGGCATCCACACAGGCTGCAGCTCAGTTTCTGGCTAAATAAGCAAACCCTCTTCCCACAGTTAGCAAGGGGTCAGGACCTCTCCACTTGTGAGTGGCTGGGTCCCTCCATTGAACCAAAGGCATCTGTGTTGGGCCTGCAAATAGCCTCCAGTAATGCAGAGCTGTTGCTCACCAGAAGGCAAAATCTGAAGAAAATTTAAGATGAATAAGACCAAATTAATGCACTCACAGGGATAGCATATTTCCCTCCTCTGCTTTAAAAATGTAACTTTAATATGTTGGTGTTTCTTTTTAACTATGTCCCAATCTTGAGGATATTGGGGGAGGCTTTAGATCTGAGCTACCATGTTGTTTACCTTAGGAACAGTATAAAATGAAAACTGCTAAATATTAGATTTACAAAAGATTATCCCAAAGGCCTATTGCCTGCTATAAGTGAGACAGGAGTACAGGTTAACAATAAACTTAAATATAAATGTATCAATGATGTAACATTTTGAAAACAGCCTATTAGTAATTTAAGTTACATAAATCAAAGAAATCTGTGTTAATTAGTAGTATTAGCCTTGGACAAAGTAAATCAGATTTAGTAACAGTTTAAAATCATGTAGATACTTTTACAATTCTATCAGAAAGCTCTGGGGAGTCACTGCAGGTTGCCATAGTCCCAAGGCAACCTGCTCTTGTTGATAAACAAACAGCAACACATGATAACAATT